ACTTTTTGAGTTCCCTAAACGCATCGGAAAAGTTAAAGACTAAGACAGTACAATCAGAGCGTAATAGATGGATGGGACAATTATTACCTGTCAATTTTGATATGAAACACTTAGCAGGTACAAAAATGGGCTTAATTGACTAATTCCTAAGAAACCCAGTCAATCCGGCGCTACCAGCATCCAGTTATGATGGGAATTTTTAAAGCAAAAATGACGGCGTTCATTTGAAGCTAGAAAACTTGAACAATATAGTGCTAAATGAATCCGCCAATAAGAAACAATCGCCTGTAAGTTCGAGTGACAAGCGAGACACACGCGGTAAACAAATTCATTCCGTCTTAACACAGCTGATCTCTAATTTCACCACAACTCACAAAGTTCAAACTAAAAAAAACAGAGAAAAACCACACAAGTTTGTGTAATCTTCGATCTGCGCGACGAGGACTTGGAAACTAAGAGAACGGAAAATTTGGACTTGCTATGACCAAACGAATGGAGATACCAGAACAATGGTGCGCAGACGGAAACAACGAAAAGAGAGGTAGAAACACAAACAAGGCAAAAACATGGATCTAACTCCCTTAGAACTAGAAAAAAACAGATGTTCTATAAAATTCGTCACAAACTTAGCGAGCGCGGCAAATGCCTGGTACTGGATGACCAATTCGTCATATCAACCCAACTGAGATACAAAAAATTCATCAGCGCGATCGTAATTACAGTCAAAAAAGTTCAATAAAAAAAATTTGCACTGGATTACAATTAAATCCGTAAAAATATATGAAAAAAGGCCAGAAGCGAAACATCAATTTACTACTGGATAGTGTAGCACAGGCAAAACAGAGAGAGACAAGTTCTCCTCTACACTGGGTTTACGACACGCGAACGCACAACTACCACTGGACCCAAAAACACAAGAACAAGGCAATTTTAAAGTGATTTGGGGAAAAACGAAAGGAAAATTTCAGTTTCAGACAGACTTCTGCGGGCTCACAGACCTGCCAGCCAGTTTCCAGCAGGCAATCGACCTCACACTAACAAGTTGCATGAATTCTTTTGCATTCTTGCACGACATCCTGGTCGCAACAAAAAAGCAGAGCACCAAGTGGCGCTCAAAGTTTTACTAGCTGAATGCTAAACAAAAAATTTGGCCATATCTTGGCTAAAGTGTAACTTCGCCTGCCAACAAGTGTAATGTTTGGGTTTCATCATCAATGCAGATGGAAGTAGACCTCTAATGAAGAAAACGGAGGCAATCGAAAACATAAACCCACAAAAACTTACAAACAGCTCAAAGTTTCATGGGTTAAATACATCACTTAACGAAGTATAGACCTCATCTGGCAGAAAAAAAACAGCCTCACTACGTCCACTGCTGAAAAAACAGTAAGAAGTTTAGCTCTAATTGGTTGGATTGCCATGAGATCGCTTTGAGAAAATAATTAAATTGTTCGCAAACGTAACAAAAAACCCGTCATTTTGACCAAAAACATGAAGCAAAAATTGTATGCGATGCATCAACAACCGGCCTGGTAATGGCACTGGAAATATTAGCCGTTTTTGTGCGCCTCAGGATTTTTGAGTTCCAACAAAAAGAAATATTTTATTTATGTGCTTGAATGTTTTGGGGTAGTTTGGGCAGTAGAACAATTCAAATTTTATCTCTACGTGAAAACTTTTGTGGTAACAAAGTTTTTTTAGTTTCCGGAATTCATCGGACAATTTCAAGACTAAGACAGTACAATCAGAGCGTAATGGATGGATGGGACAATTATTACCTGTCAATTTTGATATGAAACACTTAGCAGGTACAAAAATGGGCTTAATTGACTAATTCCTAAGAAACCCAGTCAATCCGGCGCTACCAGCATCCAGTTATGATGGGTATTTTTAAAGCAAAAATGACGGCGTTCATTTGAAGCTAGAAAACTTGAACAATATAGTGCTAAATGAATCCGCCAATAAGAAACAATCGACTGTAAGTTCGAATGACAAGCGAGACACACGCTGTAAACAAATTCATTCCGTCTTAACACATTTGATCTCTAATTTCACCACAACTCACAAAGTTCAAACTAAAAAAAAACAGAGAAAAACCACACAAGTTTGTGTATTCTTCGATCTGCGCGACGAGGACTTGGAAACTAAGAGAACGGAAAATTTGGACTTGCTATGATTAAACGAATGGAGCTTAATTGAATACAAAAATGGGCTTAATTGACTAATTCCTAAAAAACCCCGTCAATCCGGCGCTACCAGCATCCAGTTATGATGGGTATTTTTAAAGCAAAAATGACGGCGTTCATTTGAAGCTAGAAAACTTGAACAATATAGTGCTAAATGAATCCGCCAATAGGAAACGATCGCCTGTAAAATTGAGTGACAAGCGAGACACACGCGGTAAACAAATTCATTCCGTCTTAACACAGCTGATCTCTGATTTCACCACAACTCACAAAGTTCAAACTAAAAAAAACAGAGAAAAACCACACAAGTTTGTGTAATCTTCGATCTGCGCGACGAGGACTTGGAAACTAAGAGAACGGAAAATTTGTACTTGCTATGACCAAACGAATGGAGATACCAGAACAATGGTGCGCAGACGGAAACAACGAAAAGAGAGGTAGAAACACAAACAAGGCAAAAACATGGATCTAACTCCCTTAGAACTAGAAAAAAAACAGATGTTCTATAAAATTCGTCACAAACTTAGCGAGCGCGGCAAATGCCTGGTACTGGATGACCAATTCGTCATATCAACCCAACTGAGATACAAAAAATTCATCAGCGCGATCGTAATTACAGTCAAAAAAGTTCAATAAAAAAAATTTGCACTGGATTACAATTAAATCCGTAAAAATATATGAAAAAAGGCCAGAAGCGAAACATCAATTTACTACTGGATAGTGTAGCCCAGGCAAAACAGAGAGAGACAAGTTCTCCTCTACACTGGGTTTACGACACGCGAACGCACAACTACCACTGGACCCAAAAACACAAGAACAAGGCAATTTTAAAGTGATTTGGGGAAAAACGAAAGGAAAATTTCAGTTTCAGACAGACTTCTGCGGGCTCACAGACCTGCCAGCCAGTTTCCAGCAGGCAATCGACCTCACACTAACAAGTTGCATGAATTCTTTTGCATTCTTGCACGACATCCTGGTCGCAACAAAAAAGCGGAGCACCAAGTGGCGCTCAAATTTTTACTAGCTGAATGCTAAACAAAAAATTTGGCCATATCTTGGCTAAAGTGTAACTTCGCCTGCCAACAAGTGTAATGTTTGGGTTTCATCATCAATGCAGATGGAAGTAGACCTCTAATGAAGAAAACGGAGGCAATCGAAAACATAAACCCACAAAAACTTACAAACAGCTCAAAGTTTCGAAGTTCGAGTGACAAGCGAGACACACGCGGTAAACAAATTCATTCCGTCTTAACACAGCTGATCTCTAATTTCACCACAACTCACAAAGTTCAAACTGAAAAAAAACAGAGAAAAACCACACAAGTTTGTGTAGTCTTCGATCTGCGCGACGAGGACTTGGAAACTAAGAGAACGGAAAATTTGGACTTGCTATGATTAAACGAATGGAGCTTAATTGAATACAAAAATGGGCTTAATTGACTAATTCCTAAAAAACCCCGTCAATCCGGCGCTACCAGCATCCAGTTATGATGGATATTTTTAAAGCAAAAATGACGGCGTTCTTTTGAAGCTAGAAAACTTGAACAATATAGTGCTAAATGAATCCGCCAATAGGAAACGATCGCCTGTAAGTTTGAGTGACAATCAAAACAAACATCGTTAGCAAATTAACTCCGCCCTAACACATCTGATCTCTAATTCCACCACAACTCACAAAGTCCAAACTAAAAAAACAGACAGAAACCACACAAGTTTGCTTGACTACCAATCATCCTCAAAGAAATGAACACACAAAACGAATTTGGCCCGAAATTGTACAATCAGAAGGAAGACTCGAAGGCACAAACGCCACGAGGGTACAAGACCACCCAGAAGCGATCACAACATCACAACAATCGAAGATTTCTTACGAATGATTGGGGAGCACCAGGGAGTGGGCCAACACCTGGTAGAAAGAGCAATCAGAAGGGAACAGTGAAAAAGAGAAAAAGAGACACTAACAACAAATAGTGGAATCATAACACACCCAATCAATAGAGGAAGCGTCCACGCCATACAAACACACCACCCATCATACTTGAAACTGATCAACACATGGGAAAACACGAGACAAAAATCACAAACGCCGACGGGACAGTCATTTGGAAGAAATGTGAAATTGGATTCAATAGGAACAAAAACCTGAGAATGAAAAAAAAAACAACTATGATCAAGCAGAAGAAAAAAACAAAAATATAGAAACACAAACAAGGCAAAAACATGGATCTAACTCCCTTAGAACCAGAAAAAAAAGCAAGATCCGTCACAAGATCAGCGTGCGCGGCTAGTTGGGCCAATGGCTATTCAAGAGGGCGGAACTGACCAAAGAGAGGTAAAAGCATTCCTGGAATTCCTAACAAAAACTAGACAAGCATTATGTTTCTATTGTTTGATCTTGAAGACCACAATTATACGGTGATCTCGACGGCACCAGAGAAGACGTTAATACGTCTTCATATGAGCGATACCACTGTCGACGATTTGATATATGACTACAGTTATCAATTGATTTTGTTATCGCCTCTCCGGTTACTTGAGACCAGACATAGTACGGATCAGATGCATCCATCTGGAGAAGTGTTCCGCGCTGCGCGCTTCGACCAACAATAGATACAAAGATGTCACCAAATTCTGTCAGACTGTGAACAAAGAGCAAAATTGTTTACGGGAAGAAGAAAATATTTCGACCAGGTTGTGATACCCTTTTTTATCGCAAAGGTAAATTACTGATAGCTTTTTCTATTCTATCAAAAGCTAACCTTGCAAGATTAAATACTGGCTCAAAAGTTTCCCAAAGACTCCTACGTGACTTACCATGGGACAGGGTACTTAGCTCCTCCAGTTTCGTTGTTGGGCTTAAGTGTTGTTCGGATTATTCCTTCTTCGCCAGTGACATAATCTTCTTGTCCGCTGCCATTATTCGGGACAGCGGTGTTCTCCGACTCTGAAGCAATGTACTCTTCAGATATGGTGCTGCTGTAATTATCAGTTGAGTTTTTGTCACTAGACTTTGTGGAGTTTTCAGGGTTTGAAGCATTACTTTCAGTGGTAACATTTTTCATAGCTTCTGCGTCTGACGTAGAAGAACTGTTTTTGTCCTTATCGGTTGGATCCATTTTTTCATCATCACTTCCAGAAGAAGTTTTTTCCCCAGATTCTGGTTCTGGGCTACTATGGTTCGTCAATATTTTGTCAGGGCCACTTTCGACTGGTTTTGTTTGACTGCCGCTTTCGGATCCTGGAGACTCTCCAGGAACGTCTTGGCTGCTTTCCGTGTCATTAGTTTGGGTTCCAGCATCATTCATAGATGGCTCACTCTCCCGGCTATCACTGCCACTGGAACTGACGTCATTGGATTCCTCGCTACTTTCGTCTAACGATTCTGAGTCACTTTCCTTGTCGCTTGAACCAGTCTGTGTTCCAGCGTCATTCATAGATGGTTCACTCTCCTGGTTGTCAGTTTCACTGGAGCTGACGTCACTGGATTCCTCGCCACTTTCCTCTGACGATTCTGAGTCACTTTCCTTGTCGCTTGAACCAGTCTGTGTTCCAGCGTCATTCATAGATGGTTCACTCTCCTGGTTGTCAGTTTCACTGGAACTGACGTCACTGGATTCCTCGCCACCTTCCTCTGACGATTCTGAGTCACTTTCCTTGTCGCTTGAACCAGTCTGTGTTCCAGCGTCATTCATAGATGGTTCACTCTCCTGGTTGTCAGTTTCACTGGAACTGACGTCACTGGATTCCTCGCCACTTTCCTCTGACGATTCTGAGTCACTTTCCTTCTCGCTTGAACCAGTCTGTGTTCCAGCGTCGTTCATAGATGGTTCACTCTCCTGGTTGTCAGTTTCACTGGAACTGACGTCACTGGATTCCTCGCCACTTTCCTCTGACGATTCTGTGTCACTTTCCTTGTCGCTTGAACCAGTATGTGTTCCAGCGTCATTCATAGATGGTTCATTCTCCTGGTTGTCAGTTTCACTGGAGCTCTTGTCACTGGGTTCCTCGCTACTTTCTCTTGACGATTCTGAGTCATTTTCCGTGTCGCTTGAACCAGTCTGTGTTCCAGCGTCATTCATAGATGGTTCACTCTCCTGGTTGTCAGTTTCACTGGAGCTGTTGTCACTGGATTCCTCGCTACTTTCTTCTGACGATTCTGAGTCACTTTCCTTGTCGCTGGAACCAGTCTGCGTTCCAGAGTCATGCATAGATGGTTCACTCTCCTGGTTTTCAGTTTCACTGGAGCTGTTGTCACTGGGTTCCTCGCTACTTTCTCGCGACGATTCTGAGTCATGTTCCGTGTCGCTCGAGCCAGTCTGTGTTCCAGCGTCATTCATAGATGGTTCACTCTCCTGGTTGTCATTTCCAGTGGAACTGGCATCCCCAGACTCTTCGCTAGATGCCTTCGACGATTCTGAGATTATTTTGTCGTCACTAGAACTGATTTGAGTTACTGCATCAGTCATTGATGGTTGGCTCACTGGCTTGTCAATCCCCGTTTCGCTAGAGGGCAATTCTCTGCTGTCATCAGATGATGTTGACCCACTGCTGTTAGACAAAGATAGACCGCTGTCAGCGGAAGATGAATGTAAATCTTCATTAGAAGGTGAGGTTGCGTTATCAGCAGATGATGGAGCCACATCTTCGTCAGACGGAGAAATCCCGCTGATATTAGAGAGTGGAGGCAAATCTTCATCAGATGGGGAGGCTCCGGTGACACCAGCTGGTGGATATAAGTCCTCATCGGATGTAGGAAATCCATTCTCACTAGAAGGTGGAGACTCTTCATCAGATGTAGGGACTCCGCTGTTTTCAGACGTTGGATGCATATCTTCACCAGATATAGGTGCTCCGCTGTCATTTGAGGGTGGAGAAGCATTTTCATCAGACGTAGAGGCTCCGCTGTCATTAGAGGGTGGAAATACGTCTTCATCGGATGTAGGAAATCCATTTTCACTAGATGGTCGAGACACCTCTTCATCAGGCGTAGGGACTCCGTTGTCATTAGAGGGTAGAGGCACATCTTCATTCGACGATGGAGCTCCATTGTCACTAAAAGGTGGAGACACATCATTATCAGAAGGAGGGGATCCGCTGTCATTAGAGGGTGGAAGCACGTCTTCATCAGACGTAGGAATTCCATTGTCACTAGAGGGTAGAGACCCATCTTCGTTAGACGTAGGTATTCCGTTGTCATTAGAGGTAGGAGGCACATCTTCATCAGACGTAGGTACTCCGTTGTCATTAGAAGGTTGATGCACATCTTCACCAGACGTAGGAATTCCATTGTCACTAGAGGTTGTAGACACATCTTCATTCCACGTAGGAGCTCCATTGTCACCAAAAGGTGGAGATACAGCATCATCAGGAGGAGGGGATCTGCTGTCATTAGAGGGTTGAAGCGCGTCTTCATCGGACGTAGGAGCTCCATTGTCACTAGAGGTTGTAGACACATCTTCATTCCACGTAGGAGCTCCATTGTCACCAAAAGGTGGAGATACAGCATCATCAGGAGGAGGGGATCTGCTGTCATTAGAGGGTTGAAGCGCGTCTTCATCGGACGTAGGAGCTCCATTGTCACTAGAGGGTGTGGACACTATTTCATCAGACATAGAGACTCCGCTGTCACCAGAAGGCGGAGACACACCATCGTCAGAAGGAGAGGCGCCGCTGTCGTTAGAGGGTGGAATCGCGTCTTCATCGGACGTAGGAATTCCATTGTCACTAGAGGTTGTAGACACATCTTCATCAGACGTAGGGACTCCGTTGTCACTAGAAGGTGGAGACACACCATCATCAGAAGGAGAGGCGCCGCTGTCATTAGAGGGTTGAAGCGCGTCTTCATCGGACGTAGGAGCTCCATTGTCACTAGAGGGTGTGGACACTATTTCATCAGACATAGAGACTCCGCTGTCACCAGAAGGCGGAGACACACCATCGTCAGAAGGAGAAGCGACGCTGTCGTTAGAGGGTGGAAGCGCGTCTTCATCAGACGTAGGAATTCCATTGTCACTGGAGGTTGTAGACTCATCTTCATCAGACGTAGGGTTTCCGTTGTCATTAGAGGGTGGAGGCATATCTTCATCAGACGTAGGAGCTCCATCGTCAATTAAAGGTGAAGACACAGCATCATCAGAAGGAGGGGATTCGCTGTCATTAGAGGGTGGAATCATGCCTTCATCAGACGTAGGATTTACCTTTTCACTAGTGGTCGTAGACAGATCTTCATTCGACGTAGGAGTTCCATTGTCACTAAAAGGTGGTGACACATCATCATTAGAAGGAGGGGATCCGCCGTCATTAGAGGGTGGAAGCACGTCTTCATCGGACGTAGGAATTCCATTGTCACTAGAGGTTGTAGACACATCTTCATCAGACGTAGGGACTCCGTTGTCACTAGAAGGTGGAGACACACCATCATCAGAAGGAGAGGCGCCGCTGTCATTAGAGGGTGGAAGCACGTCTTCATCGGACGTAGGAACTCCATTGTCACTAGAGGTTGTAGACACATCTTCATCAGACGTAGGGATTGCGTTGTCACTAGAAGATGGAGACACACCATCATCAGAAGGAGAGACGCCGCTATCATTAGAGGGTGCAAGCACGTCTTCATCGGACGTAGGAATTCCATTGTCACTAGAGGTTGTAGACACATCTTCATCAGACGTAGGGACTCCGTTGTCACTAGAAGATGGAGACACACCATCATCAGAAGGAGAGACGCCGCTATCATTAGAGGGTGCAAGCACGTCTTCATCAGACGTAGGAATTCCATTGTCACTAGAGATTGTAGACAGATATTCATCAGACGTAGGGACTCCGTTGTCACTAGAAGATGGAGACACACCATCATCAGAAGGAGAGACGCCGCTATCATTAGAGGGTGCAAGCACGTCTTCATCAGACGTAGGAATTCCATTGTCACTAGAGATTGTAGACAGATATTCATCAGACGTAGGGACTCCGTTGTCACTAGAAGGTGGAGTCACACCATCATCAGAAGGAGAGGCGCCGCTGTCATTAGAGGGTGGAAGCGCGTCTTCATCGGACGTAGGAACTCCATTGTCACTAGACCTAGTAGACACATCTTCAGCAGACGTAGGGACTACGTTGTCACTAGAAGATGGAGACACACCATCATCAGAAGGAGAGACCCCGCTATCATTAGAGGGTGCAAGCACGTCTTCATCAGACGTAGGAATTCCATTGTCACTAGAGGTTGTAGACACATCTTCATCAGACGTAGGGACTCCGTTGTCACTAGAAGATGGAGACACACCATCATCAGAAGGAGAGACGCCGCTATCATTAGAGGGTGCAAGCACGTCTTCGTCGGACGTAGGAACTCCATTGTCACTAGCGGGTGTGGACGCATTTTCATCAGACATAGAGACTCCGCTGTCACCAGAAGGTGGGGACACACCATCGTCAGAAGGAGAGGCGCCGCTGTCATCAGAGGGTGGAAGCGCGTCTTCATCAGACGTAGGAATTCCATTGTCACTAGAGATTGTAGACAGATATTCATCAGACGTAGGGACTCCGTTGTCACTAGAAGATGGAGACACACCATAATCAGAAGGAGAGACGCCGCTATCATTAGAGGGTGCGAGCACGTCTTCATCGGACGTAGGGACTCCGTTGTCACTAGAGGTTGTAGACACATCTTCATCAGACGTAGGGACTACGTTGTTACTAGAAGATGGAGACACACCATCATCAGAAGGAGAGACGCCGCTATCATTAGAGGGTGCAAGCACGTCTTCATCAGATGTAGGAATTCCATTGTCACTAGAGGTTGTAGACACATCTTCATCAGACGTAGGGACTCCGTTGTCACTAGAAGATGGAGACACACCATCATCAGAAGGAGAGACGCCGCTATCATTAGAGGGTGCAAGCACGTCTTCATCGGACGTAGGAATTCCATTGTCACTAGAGGTTGTAGACACATCTTCATCAGACGTAGGGACTCCGTTGTCACTAGAAGATGGGGACACACCATCATCAGAAGGAGAGACGCCGCTATCATTAGAGGGTGCAAGCACGTCTTCATCGGACGTAGGAATTCCATTGTCACTAGAGGTTGTAGACACATCTTCATCAGACGTAGGGACTCCGTTGTCACTAGAAGGTGGAGACACACCATCATCAGAAGGAGAGGCGCCGCTGTCATTAGAGGGTGGAAGCACGTCTTCATCGGACATAGGAACTTCATTGTCAATAGCGGGTGCGGACGCATTTTCATCAGACATAGAGACTCCGTTGTGACTAGAAGGTGGAGACACACCATCATCAGAAGGAGAGGCACCGCTGTCATCAGAGGGTGGAAGCGCGTCTTCATCGGACGTATGAGCTCCATTGTCACTAGAGGGTGTGGACGCTATTTCATCAGACATAGAGACTCCGCTGTCACCAGAAGGTGGGGACACACCATCATCAGAAAGAGGGTCTCCGCTGTCGTTAGAGGGTGAACGCACGTCTTCATTTGATGTAGGAGCTCCATTGTCACTAGAGGGTGGAGACCCATCTTCGTTAGACGTAGATACTCCGCTGTCATTAGAAGATGGAGGCACATCATCTTCAGAAGGAGGGTCTCCGCTGTCATTAGAGGCTGTAGGCACCTCTTCATCAGACGTAGGTGCTCCGCCGTTGTCAGATGAAGAGATCTCATGGTCATCAGGTGAAGAGGCTGCGCTGTAATCGGAATTTTCTGTGACTTTGTCTTCAGTTGGTCTGGACAATTCATGATCAAAGTTTGTTGTCACTCTTTCGGTTGATTGTATTTTGGCTTCATCATCATCTGCTACTGAAAGAGTCTGCTTGGAGGAAACGTCAGCTGATTTTGCACTCTGCTCTGGTCCTGAAGTCTTATTCTCAACTTCATTTCCAGAATCAGATCCCTCGGAAGCTTCGCTGACACCAGTTATGCTGTTCTCTGCATTTTCCAGTGGGTTTATGTCACGCGATTGTTTGTCTTTTTTGTAAGTCAAGCCCCCATAAGGAAATTTTTTAAGCTCCAGCTGTTCTATGGCGCTCGCGTCAAATTTTGCTGGTTCTACGAAATGTTTTCTAGCTGAATTTTGAAATCGCGCTTCGGTTTTAAAAATAACTCCCAGCCCAGCTAAAGTTATGACAATCCTGAAGAACTCCATCGCCTTAAACGTATAAATCATCATGCTAATTATAAACATACTTTAAAAGCCATTAGATGCAGGTTAGTTTAATGTTATCTTCTGTAACTTAATTTTGTGCATTGTGCCTCTCATTGAAAATGGGGAGCAACTTTGTTATGGATTTGTTTTAGTTTTTTGTTTTCCCTGCAAAATCAGCTGCCCCAAATAGTCATCGGACTGAGTTGTGTGATATATTTTATTAAAACCCTTTCCTAGTGTTGAGAAAACTCAGCATGGCGTATTTGATTTTTAGCCTATACTGGAGGAAGAAACTAACGCAACCAATTTTTTTAAGAACTGTTGTATTTTCCCTAAAGAATTTTAATGATATTTTAATGTAGTTTCGGAGAAGCTTGACTAAGTGTTTGCTCATTAATTTGCTATGAATTTTTTCGAAAAAAAATAAGGAAGTTTTCTTTGATATCATTGAAGATCTTGAAGAGTCTTCGAAAAATCTTGAAGATTGTTCGAAAAATCAAATTCCTCTGATGCCGGAGTGATTGTACATGTTTCTGAGGTCGTATTCATGTAGTTTGGACGCTTAGGTACCTTGGAAAAAGCCGGAATTATTTTAACTTTTCTTTGCTATCTTTGATAAATCTTCAAGAATCTTCAGGATCTTGGCAAGATTTTCAAGATGACTGGACCTGGGAAAGGTCTTAAACAAGAACTCCACTCAGTTTATGTAGACACAACAAGTCTGGCCATAACTAAAACTATTCGATCGTATCGTTAAAGCCTGCATTTTAGAGCCATTGCAAACTTGGTGCAGATGAGAGAAATGTGGAAATTTAAAACTAGATTCTACAAGTGAGTACCTAAAAAGTTCATTTGGATTTTGCCCCCCCTTGCATCATTTCACAAGAAAGTTTTGTTCGCAATGTGCTACTGTTTTGAAATTGACATACATACAAAATAGGCCACGACAAACATATTTGGTCTTCATAATTAACCTTGTAAAACCGCACTCGTTACACCATAAAATTTTTGTTCGTGAGAGGTGGGGGGAAACGAAAAAGAGCCGGATTTTGGTAATCTGTTAGTGTTACGCCAGATTTTGTGCAGAGTATCACAAAATAAACTAAAAATGTGAAGCATACTTCGTCAAATGAAAATCTCAAACATTTCAAATTTTGGTAAGAGAAGTTTTTCAAAAAAGGAATAATTATTTCATTCGAAGCTCAATTAATAGCTATCGCTCAGTGAATTTGTTAAGTTAATTGTTTGTCTTTTTCGAAAAACAACTAATATCCACTACTTCTATTTTTCTATGAATATCGTAAATGCATGAAACCTAGTCTTTCGTTCAATTCTTTTTATCACACTGCACACAAAAAATATGAATAAAATTTAAGAAAAAAAATTGTATTTTTAGGAATGTGGTCTGATAACTCTAGTGGGGGTAGGCGGGGGGCGGTGGTGGTTTTGGTTTTTCAAAAAAAAAATTGACTAAATTGATTTTATGATTTTATGAGCTCTCCCACATCACTATAAAGACCTCAATTGGACCAAATTTTGAGCTCCTCATGAAAATTGTTCAAAAAAAACAGGCCAGAAAAGGCATTTTTTGGCAATTTTTGGAAAATTTTGACCAAAAAATTGCTCCGCGCTCAAATATAAATACTTTAGCGCCGAGGTCGCATTTAAAAAACTTTTGCGGTCAGTCAGCCAAAAAAAAGGACAACTCAAACTCAGAGAAGTACAAACGGTCGGCAGGGGGTCGAATTCCTGAAGGAAGGTAAAGGTGTCCAGCCCCGCCCCACGCCCCCACCGCTCCTAAATCCGGTGGTGGCTACTTGCACAGCATCCGACTTATATTTGTTAAATTTTGTATTCTGTAGTCTTGAAGGACAAAAATTACAGGCCGAACCAGTAGTTTTTTCCAATCATGTTTATGGTTTTTATTTCACTTATCATTGTGATCTGGTAAGTTTGTTTTTCATTTTTTACGTTCACTGCCCGCAAAACCAAAAAAAAGTATAACTTTGAAAGTTAGCTCGCCCCTGTAGTGAAGAGTGTTATGTAATTTAAGTTTTTTACGTAGTATGTACTGTAGTTTTATCTCATGCTACCAAAGTCAACATGCTAGAGGTCGTGAACTATGCGTTTAGCCATTGGCACTGGTGACCTAAAAAAGTTCAAGTTGATTTTTTACGTTTCTTTGTTCACAACGCAAGTCGTTTCACACCCATTGAGTATACTTCTACATGGCTCAGTCCAAACGGAATTGAGCTATCGTGGCCTCGATGCTTTTTGGAACGGACCGACTCAAGATCCGTCGGTACCCTGGGAAAAATGGGCTCAAGTTAGAACAGAGAGGGAAACCCGAAATGAAACCGCATTGCAAATATGGAGGAGAAAATAAACCTGTCGGTTGGATGAAAAGAAAAGGCTGTTCACGGGAAGTACCAGGAGAGATGGGGACACAAAACTGAAGTCGAACTTATTTCTATCATTAGTAAAGCAGGGACAAAGATATTTTTACCAAAAACATCCTCGTACGAAGATGTAATAATGAGATTCACAGAGTTGTGGAAGTTGGCAGCAGACGCTTTTCAGCTCGAACTAAATTTCACAAACTGTAGGTTCATCTGGACGAAGACAGCAAGAAAACGAGGAATGGAACAGTGCTTTGGGGCATTAAGTGATTTAATCCGAAGATGTGACTTTGGCCCGAACGAGGAGTCTATAGTAAGGTACGTGTTTATCTTCAACATAGGTAATGGAGAAATCCCTAAACAGTTGTGTATGGAAACGCTGGCGGCGCCGGATGCATTACAATTTGCAGTGGTGAAGGATAGAGAAATTATGTGTAAGAGAGGTTGTGGAGGCCTACCGAAATTTGGGAGAAATAAGTTTAACTCAGGGCGACAGAATACCCGTGGAGTTCAACAGTCAGGGTACACTAAGAGAGAACCGGTGGAAGATGTGAAAGGCTAGAGGCAAGACAAATTCCAGAATTGTGGGAACTGGTTAAAATCAAATCATCGTGAAAAATGTCCTGCAAGAAACAATATCTGTAATAAGTGTAGTGGATGCGGACTTTTCGCTAAGCATTGTAAAAAGGCTTCAGTGATTAAAGTACACGGATTTGAGTTTACACCGTACAAAACAAATATAATCCAAATATGGGATGAAGAGAAGGATGGCAAGGAGCTCAGTTATATGCGATACGAACGGTGTGGGATAAAACTGGAAAAAGCGGTGGCAAACGGAATTCTAGATAGATTGCGGAAGACTGGTGTCGTTTATATCGCAGACGAAACTACAGGAACTCAAAATTGTGAACAGATTTTTAGCGGTGGTTTGCGGAAAAAGTGTAACTGTTTATCACCAAACGGGGTCAAATGGACATAATTGGTAATAATGTTTTTTAGCAATTGGAAACGAAGTCCAACAGAAACAGACAGTGATTTTGATTAATGAATATGCGCAAAAGAGCGACAACTCGGATTTATAAAATTCTGAAATTCAACGTAAGTTCATGAAGTAAACTTGACAAGCGTTCAAGGACTTATTTGAATGGAAGGGAGTGTTGAGGAATTGCCAAGTGAGGGCGCATTTTCACGAACCGTTGCGTCCAATTCAGATAAAGGGAAACGAGTACCAATTCATTTATTGCCTGAAGTTGAGGAAACAATCAGTAGTTTAAAAAAAAGTAAAATAGGGTCAAATTTTGAAATTGGGAAAATGTAAGGAAGATTGATTGGTTTTACCGACAGTTTTAACCGCCAAACGAGACGGATCGTTGAATTAAGCGTTGAACTCGAAAATCACAAAAAATTGATTCACCAGAATTGCTACCAGACACCCAATATGAATGAACTATTCCATAACATAGCCTTAGCTATTAGTGGGAATACCAACAATGCCAATTGATTCTCTAACATCGATTTAAAACACACGTACTTTCAAATGTAGCCGAGCGAAGCAACAAGTCGGCAAAGTAACTTCAGTGTTGTTAGCGGCAATATAACAGGCAATTAACAGGAACATACCGGTTCAAAACGGTGTTATATGGTTTGGCGGATATGCCCAACAAGTTCCAACTAGTCATGGAATCCAGATTGTTCCACTTGCCTGTGGTGCACGAGCATCTGGTTGGTATACTAATTGCAACCCGGGGTTCAGAGGAACGTCACTGGAATGAAGTTTGGGGGGTTTCAGGTGTGAATAATGCGGCAATTAAATGGATCAAACTTACCTTCTACGTTAAGAAACTGGAGTGATTGGGTTTTCGTTTGAAAAATAAAGGAACCATACCAACAGAGCAAAAAGTCTAACCCATCACAAAAAGGAAACAAACTGAAAAAATCGTGGACACTGGATCATTGATTGGATCCATTTATCAAATTCATTCGTTTCATACCAATTTATGCAGCTACAACTGAACATTTCAACAATTTGAAGAAGAAACATTCTCGTTTCGAATGGGGAGCAACACATGAAAAGGAAAGTCTGCCGAGAAAAAAATTGTGAGTGATTTTGTCTGAAATCATCATTTTGACGTTCAATAAATAACTAGAGTGAAATAGGACGCTTTGAAACAGAGCCTGGTGCGGAATTGTAGCAGTTACACACATATGGATGGAAACCAGTTTCATACGTATCCAGATTTTTGAACGATGCACGAGACTGACTGAATTAAAAAATAGTAAAAACGAACTGGAACTATTAGCAGTTGTTTGGGCGGTGACATGCTATCAAAATTATTTGTTTATGGCTCCATTCAAGATAATAACAGAACATAAAGCATTATGACCTTGCCTATCAGAAGAGATGAAGACAAAAACAACCCAAAATTGTTGAGTACGTTGGGTAGACCGGCTGTTACCGTTTGACTACAATAGAGTGGTTGTGAATAGGGTCAAATTGAACATATTCCAAGTGAGGCAAAGTAACTGAACAGATTCCGGTAAAAAAAAATGGGATTGGTAGACTGTTTATCTAGTTACCCGTTGGGATTAGCCTCGACATTG